CCTATGAATCAATTCTGATTCGTAATACAACTGTTTCCTCGAAGATAAAACATTTTTCAAATATTGATCTTTTTAAGGCATTTTGAAATCTTCTATTTTATATTATCTTCAATTCGGTTGTAAAACGTTAATAATATACTAATAATACGGCCCAAAGTATTTATTACTCTGAATAATGGTTTATTTGTACACGTTAATATGATCCTTTTATTTATTTCATACGCGTGGTAATGTATCAGTAGATATGAGTTGACTCCATTTTTTTTAGAAATTTGATATCTCTTCTACATGTATATTGCACTTCATACAATTGCTGAGAGTATGAAACGTAATTAAAAAATTTACTATCTGATAATCATGCAGAAGGTAATTATTGTATTAAGCAAATTATTATTATATTATTTTTCTTCAGATGCAACAAGTACATCTGTTCATATCACTTGTTTCAATTTATATATTTGAACATTGTATGTTGTAAAATCAATGTAACTTTGGCAAATATTGCAACTAATGCAATAATGTGATTTGCACAATCTCTTCAGTTATGTTGAACATTATAAGACTCCAAGTTTCGAGAATCATGAAGAAATTTCTAAAATGATTTTGAAAGATAATTAAACCTTCAAACACTTATTTATAGATATTGTATTGTTCCAAGATAATGAAGAAGTCTAAAGAAGTCTAATACAAGTCAAAAGCTTTTCTTGGACAGATTAGCCTGTGTATAGACTTGGAATAATTTGAAATAATTACACACTTCGATTTTTTTCCCAAGAGCTTTTATTCCACGCATTATTTTTCAGAATTTATTTTTAAAATTACAATAAGAGTATAACCCCTTAATACAATCTTAATAATAATAAATAATTCAATTATTCAGTGTTCAAAAAATATGTGTTGGATTTCATTTCAGAAAACTTCTTTTCTTTTACTGCAAACAACATTTCTTTTACTGTAATGAATTTTTTAGTTTTATTGTACAATATAATTGTAAAATATATGTATATACAATTTTTTACTTTTTGGAAATAAAATTTGTACTACTTTATATATTTTCTATTCTTTCCCATATATCTTGTATATAATTATATATTAAACTTTTGCAATGTTAAATAATGTACAATATGATATACAATATATAATATTTTAATATTTAGTACAAAATATAAATAAAAATAAATATTGAAAAGACAAATTTTATTGAAATAATATCTTAAATTCTTGCAGAATAAAATGGATGAATCCTCCAGCGTGTAGTAATGAAGCATATACACCTACCTCTGTAGAACACATAGCAAATGTAGCTACTCATGGGATTTGGGTTGTACCATCTGTCATAGGTAGCTGGGAACTGGTCAGCCGTTCTATAACATGGACCCAATTAATATCAGCTTATGTATATGGTACATCTCTGATTCTTATTTTTACGGTTTCGACATTTTTCCACAGTGTACATTATTGCAATAATAACAGGTACTATTACATATTTTAATTTAATTTATATAGTTTAGTTTATACATCTTTAGTCATAATTTTGTATTTAAGAAATAACAATTAATTATTGCAGACAGCTTAAAGAAACATTGCATCGTTGTGATCGTGCCATGATTTACATTTTTATTGCTGCAAGTTATTTTCCTTGGTTAAATGTAGATCATTTCCCAGATGACGAAGTATTATTTATAATGCGTTATGCTGTTTGGATTATGGCAATATTGGGTATAGTGTATCAACAAATCTTCCATGAACGATATAAAATGTTAGAAACAATTTTTTATGTAATTATAGGAATTGGTCCTAGTTATGCTATCATTAATGCAGTAAGTATATAATTATACTTTCAAGAAATCATTTTAACTAGGGATGTTAGTAAATAATGAATACACATTTAAAAATTTGTATCTTACAGTATAATCAATATAACATTACTGAATTAAAATTGGGAGGATTGTTTTATATTTCTGGCATTGCATTTTTTAAATCTGATGGAAGAATACCATGTGCACATGCGATTTGGCATCTTTTTGTTGCTGTAGCAGCTGGACTTCATTATTATGCCATATTAAATCATGTCTTTCCTGTAGTCTGTTCATCAGATAATTTTATGGCAGCAGATGTACCAGCATTACCAAAACTGTTAAACTCTCATATTGAAGAATTATAAAAACAAATCTTTTAATATTGATTTTATATCACATCAAACATTTTACAAATGAGAATTTTTAATACAAAATTAATAAAGTAAGTATTAAATATTAATTCGCAATTATGAGATTAAAATTACTAAAAATAGATTTCTCGATTATTTAAAAATTTTCGAAAAATAGAAATTATTTAATATAGAGAATATATTACTTTTAAAAAAATGACTATATTAAGTACCTGAAATATACATATAAAAATTATATTCTCAAATTGTGAGTATTTGTCAAAATACAATTAAAAAAGATAATGGTAAAGAAATATAACTAAAAGAGATAGTGATAAAAAGAAAATATTATCTAGTGATCAAAATTATTATTTGAAGCATAAATTTTTATGTATTTGTATAAAGAAAGTGACATTTTAATAATAATTTTTAAAATTGATATAATATTAGATATAATATTGATATAATATTAGATATATTAGATGTAATAAAGTAATATGTAAAATAAAGTAATATATGGTAAAACTACGTTTATCCGAATATTGGAAAATATATTTTATATAGTTCAGTAGTAGTAAGAGTTGATATTCAAATAACTGAATTTTAGATTGCTTTATTCATCTTTTTATTTCTTGTTTATATTTCTTAGCATTTTGAAATATTGACTCTGTTTAAATTTTCAAATATTGACTATGTTTAAATTTTCAAATTTAATTGAAATTCAATTTTTATCATTTTCATCACAATATCACATAGCATGATATTTTATGTATTGCATCTTGCAATTTCATAAATTTTTTAAATTTCTATTTCCTTACAGTTTGATACTATATGCATTATTCACTATACAATTTGATACTATATGCATTATTTTTTCATACGTAATATGTAAATAACTTTTTGCAAATTATTTTTATTTATTGAATCTTTTAATTGTTAAGCTTCCTCAAGAAGATGATACATCTATCTTTGTTGTTTTTATCTAGAAAAAAGTTTTCCTTATAATATCTTTTTATCATTTTAATTATGAAATATATTCTGAATGCAATAAGTAATTAGATAAGTATATCCATTGTAATGTGCAAAAATATTTACATAATTAAAGTTGGATGATAGAAGTTCAACTATAAATTGATATCTAAATTGAGTATTAACTTGTTCCTATAAACAAAATGCGGATAAACGGAGTTCTACTTATATTCATTTTGTATGATACAAGTTCATATAAGAGGTGTGTTAGAGGGCCCAAATTTGTATAATAACTCAATATATTAGTTAAATTAAGTACTGTGACAAAATTTGTTCAGATAAATGAAGTTTTACTGTAATAGTAAATGCCTAATATGAACTTATTACTGTAAGATATATATCTTGCTACTTTCTAAGATATTGTATAATAATTATTTTTTAATAACATTAGATAGTTTTTTTATAGTATATAACATTTTATAAGAATCAGTTTATTATAGACTACAAAACAAATATTATTTAATTTACATAACATTTGTCTAATGAATAGTGAGTAAACAAAATTGACTGTTCATAACTGATTTTGCATATTTAAAATGTTGTGCCAAAATTTGTATTTATATATATATATATATATATGTAAATGAACAATTTCTATAATATAAAATAGTATCCCTTATACTTTATAAAGTATTTAAATATCTTTAATTATTTTTCTTCTAAAACACTCATGGTTATAACAATGTATTAGCAATATAATTATTATTTCTTTTTGTCTTAACTATTTTATCACACAATATAGGAATGTAGTTATGATATATGTTGCTAATATTGTAAATTAATAAAATAATTGATATAGTTTTATTAATAAAGTTTTACATTTATTGTTTTATTGTTTAATAATGTCTACATAATTTTGTATTTTATTTTAAGCAAAATAGGTAAGTTATCATTAAACTGATAGTAGATTTTCATGTATTTATTCAAAATTTAAAAATCCAATAATATATGGAATGTTTATAATGTTCAAAAATATATAAAACATCCAAAATATTACCTATAACATTTAACAGAAACAAATTTCACTTCTAAATAATGTTTCTTCATCTCATCAGTGAAACCATTGACAATGAAGTCAATAGTAAAACTATTCTGCACTGAGTCTATTTATTTACTAATCTTAGTCATTAAAATTAAATTTATTATATATTAAAAGTACCAGTCAGGTTACTTTTTAGTTGTTATACAATACTAATAGTGTTTTCAAGAAGCTAGCTTTACACATTTTATGATTTAAAAAAATACTTATGTTTTCACTTTTCGCAAATGATTATAATTTCTCACTGTTACATATTTTTCTATTGAAAATGAATGTACATACCTAAATACAATTTTATTCTGATCATTCAATGCAATTATAAAAATAAAGACATACAATTGGCCGAAAGTGTCACGTATGGATACAGATGTACATAGGGATACAAAAGTATCCTTTTTAAGTATACTTACTGATTTCTACGCATACATTTCTGATACATTTATATCCTAAAAAACAATCTAATAAATACGCTCATCTGATATATAGTCAATTGAGTCATACTGAGTCAATCTATCAAATAAGACCGTATTTAGATTTATTTTTATTAGAAAAATCTCATTTATTCTCATTCATTGACGTAGTATATAGTAAAATTTCGTTAATAATATTAATTTATTTGTGTAAAAGGAGAAACTACAAAGATTATGTCGTATCACAGACCTCGTCTGTGGTCATATTTATATAGAGACATTTATTATCATACAAATTCAAGTCATCTAGAGTTATACTACAGTAAAAATACTACTAGTATAGAATAATAACTTCCACTTCCACTAGAGGCGCTGATTTCATAAATCCATAGTAGTTGGTGAAAGTCCCATGTGTTTAATGCATTTGTAATTTAAAGGAAAAATAATCTCATTGTGTTTATTATTATTTTTATGTACATATATAAAACATTATTCCCTATGAATTTACTTACCGTACATTTTTGCAAGCAATTCAGATATTGTTTTTACAACAGTATTAATAATACAATCAGACGATATAATCATGCATCAAACAAAGAATATAATAATGATGTATCACCATTGCCTCAATCAAAACAATTTCCAGATTACACGATATTATATTTACTTCCTATGGCCACAGTTCCTTATATTTTTAATAAAATGAAACGTAATTACACAATTTTTGTGGGAGCAACTATACCAATATGTATATCTTTACAAATATTGAGTTTCATGCCATCCATAGAAAATTTAACTTTTATGAGTTGCAGTAAGTTTAAATAAATATTTAACGTTTAATATTTTTATGTAAGATTTAAGTCTTTATTTATGCAATTTATTATATATTTCAGATTGTATATTAACCGCTACATTACACACTATCGGTTTTCTATGTAATAATACAGTTGGAGCAATATATATTAAAGATGAAAAAAATAAAGAAAATTTAAAAAATCAAAAAATTATAATCTCATATATAAATTATTGGGGCCGAAGGATAGATTTAAAGACAACTGCTGATAATATTATTCCTTTTGAGGAAATTCATACCAATAATTCAAATGATTATTTTAAAACTCTATATGTTAAATCACTACCTAATCAAAAATTGAAAGTGTATTTGAAATATGGAAGAATCGTAGGACCCAGTTTTTACAATATTTTTGGATAACTTTTCATGATTTATTAGTTTAAATAAATAACATTTTAATTAAATAAATGTTATTACTGCAAATAATGCATATTTTTATCCATAACAGTCTACAACCACCTATAATGTGCATAAGCTCGATTTGCCTCGCATTGTTTATGCAAATCATATTTCTTTTTAATAACTCGTCCCTGAAATATATATTTTTACAGTTAATTAAATACAATTTTACTAAAAACAATATTATGTACTATTAATAATATTGCATACTATTCAGTACTCATAACAAGCTAAACATTATGTAAGATTATACGAACATACTTGATTTTTTGCAGCATCAATAATCTCTTTTGCCAATACATCAGAAAGTTTTTCAGCATTCCCTTTGTTCTGGGCAATTCTTATTATCCAATTCATAGATAAAAATTGGGCTCTATTTTCATTTATTGGTACTGGAACCTACATACATTAATATTTTATGTTACTGATTCCAAATATTTACTTAATAAAAATTTATAAGTATTATTTATATTTGTACCTGATAAGCAATTCCACCTCTTGATATTTTTTGTAGTTCTAAAACTGGTGTACAATTTTCTATAGCTTGATAAAAAACTACTTTTGGGTCTAATATAATATTTTCCTTATATTCAGATGGAGTATTATAATATTCATTTAACTTCTTTATTTTAATATTTTCAAAAGTTTCATCTACTATTTTTCTGGCCATCTTCTTATCACCTTTTTTCATGATATAATTTGTGAATTTTCTGATACGAAGAATAGATAATTAATTATTTAAAACTAAAGAAATGTTGCTTACTCAAGTCAGAAAATTTACCTAATTAATTCATCATGAAATTCAGAACATGTATTATTAGTCTTAGCTGGTTTTATAGGCGAAAGAGAAAATTGTTTTAATTCTGTTTCTTTTTGATACAAGGCTTCTTGTTCATCTTTCTTGTAAATTGGTTTTATATAATTCGGAGGAAACACACTATAAAATTGAAGGCCATTTTCTAAATTGTATCTGTAAAACAAAACATCTTTATATTATTATATTATTATATGCTAATTATTTACTTACTATTATCAATGAAGGTTATGTGATTAACTTCTCATCATTACAAAATAAAACATAATACTGAAATTTATGAAGATTACCTTAAATTTGATAGAATTAGTGAATTAAATTTTCTTCCAATAAACATTTTTATATATATATTTTTTTTGTCAATCTTACATAGCAATTTTTACAATACTTTGACAGTGAATACATATGTTTAGAGTAACATATCATGTAAGTAATAATATATACCTAGTTCCATTCACACGAACGGTATAAGATATATATTTCATTAAGTAATAACATTTGCTTAGTACAATAATTTTTATTATCAATAATATAACATTACCAAAAAAAGTAAATGTGTAATTAAAGAAAAATGAAATTGCAAAATTAAACATTCATATTCGATCGTTATAAATTTTTATTGTTAATTGTATATATTTTTAAAATTCACACATTTTAAAAATACACAAATTTAGTAATATTTCAAATTTTTGTTATAATTATATTATATCATGATTCCTCATTTATCGATATTTTATTTTTTAGAAACTGATAAAGAGAACATTTATTAAATTACATAAAATGACTATGTTTGCTACAAATCATATTTTCGTAATATTGTATTGTTACTAATTTACGTAAATTAAAAAAAAACTTTTTAATTAGATTTTCAAATAAAATTTAGTAGTAAATCATTATGAGGTTGAATGGAAAGCTATTTATTATTTAAATATGTTTGTGTTATTATATCATATATTAATAGTGGATTTTGTATTTTATAACAAGATAAATATTTTCAAAATGAACTTAATTATAAAAATATATTATAGAGTAAAGAAAACAAACGTGGAGATATATAGTAATAAAATAAATCTATCCTACATACTGTTTGTAACATAATAAATTATTAAAAGTATTAATTTATTAAAATTAATGTTTCTATCATTTTAATATTAGTTTTAAGTATTTTAAGAAACTGCAACGAAAGAAATAACAATATAATTCGTAAATATTTGAAATTCATAAAAAAAATATGTTTATCCAAGAAAATAATTTTGTTGTTAAAATTGCCACCAGCGCCTACAATGATCGAGACTTAGAACTACAATAGTTCGTGAATCCCTTCATAGAGTTCCGAAAACGTATATATAAAACGAAAATAAATGAGCAAATTAAAGCAACTCGATGAAAGAATTTTTTACCAAATTATTAAAATTCCGATATGAATTAATGTAAACTTATCATTATCTTTCTTTCTCATTTACTCCTGCATATTACACTGCATGGTACGTATGTCATTGTTGTTTCGATCATTAAATAAGTGTGATTGCGATAAGCTTATGGCAAGGTGTACTTTTGTAATAGAAAGAAAGTCAAATCGCAATTGAAATCAAGTGTTCCGAGAAGAGAAAAAGTAAGAGTTTTCATATACGTTGTTTGCAAACGAACGAAATTGCACAAATGGTGCACTCGCTGCAGAATACATATGCTAGATTGTTAAAATCTTGCGGCAAGGTCTCCTAAAAGGAGTGCCTTTAGTAAGAAATTATTCTTCTGGTAGTCAGCTGTAAAAAAAAAATATCAAAGAATGACGGAGAATCGGGGGAATTTTTCAACTCCGACTAATCAAGGTAAGTCGCAGTGCAACAGAATTGGTGATAACTACATAAAAAGAATTATAATCTACATAACCTAAATATTAACTGCATCATTGACAGAAAATAACAAATTGATTTCGTGTGTATATACATACATACATACATGGTATATGTTAGTAATATTTATATATTAAATTATCTACGTGTGCTATTATTGATATCTAGGTTCTAGCAGATTTAATTTTCAACATTTGGATTTTGGATCTATTAACGATGTTCAGAATGAAATGTCAGGTAAAGTCTATATCTATATCTATGCATATATATTGTAATATTGTAATATAATACTGAGCACGCATGCAAACACATTCATATCCCACGTGTTTTGCATGCACTTATAAGTATATGTATACATGTACTTTGTTATAATTTGCATTTCTTTTACTACAGAAAAAAGAAGACAATTCAAACTTAATTTTCAAACACAAGGAAGTAATATACCACTTAATAATTCAACAAATTCTTCTCTTTCTAATTCAACTGGAACTGCAACTTGTTTACCAATGTAAGTTATATGGTAGATAATATGATAATACAGTACGACTTCTTTTATCCTAATTTTTATTTTATAATATCTTAATATCTAAGCGTTATATTGTTGCAATAAAATGTCAGTAAGTAATAAGACTTTCCAGTTAATAGTAGATAACCTTATTGAATAATTCAACAATATTCATTTAAATATTAAGATAATTGAAAAATAATAGTTTGAATAAAAGAGGCTTTATTGTATTTGAATTAAAGATTCTTTAATTAGTTTTTTGTTTATTCATTATAGATCTTCTCGTCCAAATTTGCCTTTATCTTTGCCCAAACTACCAGTAAGATCTTGTACTGCAGTTCCACAAGAATTGCCTGATAAAGCAAGGTATACATATATATTTGTTAAATTATGTAACTATTTAATAATATTATAATGTATTTAGTATAACTTTAATTGTAGGGATAAATTAAGAATGTGTCAGTCAATGCAAAGTACTGGAAAATTACAGCTATCACCAAATACTGTATATGATTTTACAAGCGAAGATCTTCAAGATCTAGGAGAAATAGGACGAGGAGGATTTGGTACTGTAAATAAAATGATCCATAGGATAAGTGATACTGTTATGGCTGTGAAGGTACATATTTAATTATATTATACATATTTATATAAGATAGATATTTATATAAGGTATAAATATAGAAAATGTTTTCTTATAGAGAATTCGTTCTACAGTGGATGAAAGGGAGCAAAAGCAACTATTAATGGATTTAGAAGTTGTAATGAAGTCTAATGAATGTCCATGCATTGTGCAATTTTATGGAGCTTTATTCAAAGAAGTAAGTTTTAATATTAATTTAAATTTTAATAAGTCTTTTAATATTAACTTTTCTTGATTGATAACAATAAGTATCATATTTTGGTTAGGGTGACTGTTGGATTTGCATGGAACTCATGGACACTTCATTAGATATATTTTATAAGTTTATTCATGAGGTATTAAAGGAGAGAATACCAGAACGTATTTTAGGAAAAATTACTGTTGCCACAGTAAAGGCGTTGAATTACCTCAAAGAAAAACTAAGAATAATTCATAGAGATGTAAAACCTAGTAATATTCTATTAGATCGACATGGTAATATAAAACTCTGCGATTTTGGTATATCAGGGCAATTGGTAGATTCGATTGCACGAACTCGAGATGCCGGATGTAGACCATATATGGCTGTATGTATAATAATGAATGAGAAATATTTAACAAAATCTGGAAATAATTAGAAGCATTTGAATTTATTGTAATCTTTTAGCCAGAAAGGATAGATCCTCAACGTGCAAAGGGTTATGATGTTAGAAGCGATGTATGGTCATTAGGTATTACATTAATGGAAATTGCGACTGGTTATTTTCCATATCCGAAATGGAATTCAGTTTTTGAACAACTTTATCAAGTAGTCCAGGGTGATCCACCACGCTTATCTCCTAATGAAAATGGAAATCATTTTACTATGGATTTTGTGAATTTTGTGAATACATGGTAAATTAATGTAACATTTATGAGATATTATTTATTAGAAATTTTATCTTTGCATTATTGAATAATGCTCTCTTTTTTCTATGGTACTGTTTTAGTTTAATTAAAGAAGAGACACAGCGGCCGAAATACAACAAATTATTAGAACATCCATTTATTAGAAAAGCAGAAGAAGACACTGTTGATGTTTCAGCTTACATAAGTGGTGTTCTTGATAATATGGTTCTCAGGGGATTGACGCCTTTTACCACTAATCGGCATTAAGTCGGAAATATAAGATAATACATATTTGTACCTTAATTTCTATAATTTTTCAAATCCTAAATTTGATTATTGTAAATGAATAGGTTATTTGCACTTCGATTTAGTGTAGGTAGTAAAATTAATCAACGTCGATCATTGTCGATAATAAATCATTTTGTGTAGAATCATATTATCGTGTCACAAAGTTCTTATATACATAGTAATTAGAAGTGTTTTAATAACAAGTTGACATTTATTAAATAGTGTATAGAAAACAAATTCTAAATCAGCTTTCTCATTGAAACTATAATATGGTTTCAGTGAAACACATTTATAAAGGTATGAAAAAGGTATCTTTATTAATTGCAATTACTTAAATGACGATTTGTAATAAAGTTAAATTTTGTCAATAATTAAAAACTTCAATGACATGTAATGATACTATATGCAATATGTTAAAGTAAACACTACGTTTTAAATTTTTGTAATTTCATGGTATAATAATTATTGAGTCAATCTATTCAACATAAGAAACGAAGAAGGCAGAATATAATTATTCTTGTTGGAATAAGTAAAAAGAATGTGTATTAAGAGTTTAGTACATTGTTTTGATGTATCTTTTAATAATGAAGATAATAAGAAAAATTTCTTTTCACACATAATATACTATGAACTATATTTAATTTTTCTTATTCCTTTTTTTTTCTATCAATATACATTTAAATATATTAAGTATGAAAAATACTTTTATTTTCTTTAGTTTATTATGATGAAAGAGGAGTAAGCGTAAATCGTAACAAAATTATAAATCTTTTCTTTTAATAATATCGGAAGAAATAGATATTTTCATTTCAAAAGAATGACAAAGTTAAAATCTTTAACGGAAATATTTTACTTTTATGAGGATCTTTTCACTGAATTAATTGTATCATAAAAATTTCAAATTTTATTTAATTTTATTTTTTTATAAAATTTTATAGAAGGTCGGATTTTTTATGTTTGGATACAACACTACGTCGGCATAGTTTTTGATTATATTAAGATAATAAAACTCGATTCAATTCAAAAATATAAACTCAGCTATATTTACTTATTCAAACATTTTATTTATGATAAAAATTCAAATTTTAAATGATTTTTTATGCATATATATTTCATAAATTTTTAAGTTGTTTAGCTGCAATATACAACGACATAATAGTACTTATCAAAAATATTATTTATTTATTTATAAGATTTTTTTACGATTACAAAAAAAATAAATTTTTTTGAAATTTAAATTGGATTATTGGTATTATTGAAATAGAATTATTTTTATATACATATGCATATACATATAATATATACATACATATACTCTCAAAAGTAAATTTTAACTATAATCAATAACTTTGACGACCATATGTATCTATATATAAATGTAAAGTATTTATGTACACCTACATAGAGATACAATAATATCGTTCACCTGAATCAGGAAATGACGATAGTATGATGTTAATGAATGCTGATGGACATAATGATAATTTTATTTAGATAACATTGATTTTAATTTAAATTTTATCAAAATTTTGCAAACAGGTTGCTCAATTATAACAAATGTTTCATTAATTAATTAATACAAATTTTCCTGTAGAATTAAACCTTACCATTATTTAAGTAAAGTGTATAATATCCAAGTACATAGTAATGCAATGAACTTAAAATAACATCGATTATTATCGTGATTTTTTTCATTTTTTACGAATCTATGAACCAAATCTATTTTGTACGAAACAATGGGAAGCGATTATTTATATATATATTACAAATTAATTACTATTTATAAATAGTCTCATAATACTTTGGGATGGAAACATATTTGACTCGAAAAAGTAAATGAAGCGTAAATTAATTTTATATACTTACTATTTTGAATATATAAAACTATATTTTTACGTTAGCTCATATTTCGTGCAAGAATTTTGGGAAAGAATATAATTCGTTTTATAATTAAAACACTTCGCTAAATCTATTGTTAATACGACAATTACTCTTGCTATCGTTGCTATTGCTGTTGTGGTAGTTGGAATCAATTCTGTTGAATATTTTATAAAAGCACCATCATTCTCCTGAAATCTATACTCACATTCGCGTCTATATTTGTAACGTCGCTAGGTAGTATCTGGTCTTTTAAGTTAACCACTGAAATACGTCCACATCATCTTTCATGTGATGACCTATAAACATTTGCTAAGAGGATATGTTAAAATCTATCGATCTCAAGTCGATCTGTACTTTTCAAGGAAATACTTTTTTTTTCCAAGTAGGAAGTAGGTAGTGGTGCTTAATTTGCGTCCCTGATATTATTGCACACATTTCTCGAACTTTTAACATAACTTTTTTTCTTTTATTTTACATCAATCTGTGCAGCTTTATTCAGGTTCTCAATTTTTTTCAACTTAAACTAGAAAAAAACATTTAACTCTTTTTCTATTATTAAAAGCATACTTCAATCATTATAACCATCCTTTTTCAATTTTCATTATGATAGATTCCTTTCTCTGTATATCGATGAAGAAATTTATTACAATTAAAACTGCATATTGTTCAAATTTTGTTACAAAAGTCGAAAGTGAACTTTGACTGACATCCAAGAATTATTTTATTAAAAAGAATTAGAAGAATTAATTCATATTTACTTTCTTTGAAATAAAAAGTTTATATTTATTTATTATCTTACATTATATACAATTTTATATATGCGTGATTGTATTGTTATATTTTTTGAACTTTCTAATAAATAATTTATAAATCATCGTTGAGAGGAGAAAATATTTTAAGAATTATTTCATGTATCGTAGATTGTACGTTTTTTGTGTTCTTTTTTTCATTTTTTGCTTGTTTTTCTAAGTATACGTATCCATGTTCTAGTCTGCTGTATAAATATAATTTACAAACATAAGTTAGACAATATGTACAAAAACGAAATTATATAGTTCATATACATGCGTATTACGCAAATATACATATATAGACGAATATACTTTTTAATTTTTAAAATGTAAATGTAAATGTAAATCAAGTATAAATGAAAATATTTTCCTTTTTGAACTATCTCGTAGAGTAAATCTAAAGTACACAAATAGGTATTTTAGATTTCAGGTTTAAATAACACCTATATAAGGTCAGAGGGAAAGATTTAAACATACATACACATTTTATATACTTCACATCTAAAATTTTTGTTTAAACGTCTGTTTCGATCTCTACATACTTACATATAATTTTACATGATACAAGTTTTTATAAACATTAGGAATAAATTATTTTTCATTCGAATAGATATAACTTACACATAAGTAATAAATCTTTTTACTACAAACTACTTTACTATGTAGTAAAAAGATTACTACATACTTATGTATAATTTTACATGATACAAATTTTTATAAACATTAGGAATAAATTATTTTTCATTCGAATAGATATAACTTACATATCTTACTACATAAGTAATAAATTTTTTTACTACAAACTACTTTACTATGTAGTAAAAAGATTACTACATATGTATAATTTTACATGATACAAGTTTTTATAAACATTAGGAATAAATTATTTTTCATTCGAACTATTTTAATACACTCGAAAGAAAGCTCAAGAAAGGAATGAAAAAATTATCTACAAAATATGGATAGAGCAGAAGATGAATGATTAAATAATCAAATGATTAAAGTATTTTACGAATGACGATGTAAAATTACAAGAGGGAAGAATCATGAAGTGTATTTTAGCAACAATTAGCAATAATGATGGTAGTAAAACGGAAAGTGGTCATGAGTCACAACCTGACGCGGCACAGGGAGGGTAGCAGGTGCTACTACTGTTGGTGCTGGTACTGTTGGTGCTGCTGGTGTTACCATTATTGCAGGGGTGGCCAGCTGGATAGGCCAGCAGGGGAACGGATGTTCCCAGGAGATTATTGATCGTGCATGTAGATACTTCCACTTGGACTACGTAGACAGCATGGAATTTTGCATGAAACGTATTGAATCTTTTTCTTTTTCCTTTTAACTGGCAATGAGAATATAAAATTGAATTTATACGTAACTCTGACCAGAGGTATCAGAGTTACGTACTCTTAGAATACATTGGGATAGAGTATAATGATTATTTATTCAATGCTAATACCTGCAACCTGTTAATGAAATTTCTTTTGGATCCAGTTATTAATTCAGAGAAATATAAAATAATTATTAGACACGGTCTCTTTAGTAAAAAAAAAGCTACAATTATTTGTTGATATTTTGCAATTCAATGAAATTATATTATATCTTAGGCGTTATAAAATGGGGAACGTAATTGTGAATTGCTTCCATATTTCGTGCTGGCAAATACTTAATTTTAAGCGAAATTGGTGTCTCAAATGCGATCACATTAGTGCATAATTCGACTTATACATAGTGTATATAACTCGTGTATTTCGAAATTTCGTTCAATTTTTTTAAACTAGAAACCAAATTTCAAAGGGCACAAATTTGCTTTATTAAGAAAATTGAGTTTCAATATTTCAATGTTCTAGTAATGTTCTACTAGATGTATTAAATATTGTAATAAATTGCATTTAACAGTACTCGTTGTCGCAAACAAAATGTGCTATTAAACAGAAAATCGCGAAAAATGGACGTTTCTTGTTTCTTCGAATAGTCTTCAAATTGAAAAAAAAAAAGTGATAAAAATAATGGAAAAGAACTGAATCGCGCACTTTCAATTCCTGTGTATTTTCTTAAATTTTCTTCTTCGGATGCATTCACTTGAATCAAGTTTAAATACATAAATTACAAAAAAATATATATATAATAATATAATAATAAAAAGAGATATAATGATAAATTTAGATAATATTCGAGCTGAAATCGAATGTAGGTATCTAATTATAGTGAGGGGGCAAGGCAACTCCATTTTTAGGTAATTTTAGCAAACCAAACCTGCTACAAATTTGCAGCATATATTATTGAATCATTCATATCATATCATCAAATCATACTTCTTTCTACAAAATAGGACAAGAAGAAAACGTGTAAAAGAAGCGGAGCTGCTTCCTCCCTGTTGCAAAGCCCGTTCAATTGTTGAATGCAGCATAACTGATAACTCGTATATCACTCATTCAAGTGTGTTTCATGATTCCACGAATATCAGAGAGGGTTGGCCAACCACTGGATAACGCCCACACACTGGACCTGCGTGTAGAGTGAAATTGCGTTTGTATCTCGCGGAAATTCGTCAGGGAAATTTCATCCTAACGATCCTAACGGGCATCGACCAATAATAAACAGCCTTCTGAAATTTAACACGCCATTTTCAACGTCGTCGAATAGCTACGGCTCTCTCCCCTCTCTTTCACGATGGTGTATCGCGAGTGACGGTCACTGCCTTCCTGATTCGATCAATGAAAGTATCTGTACCAGACATTCAAGCTATGCGACCACCCCTACTGACAATGAAGCGTATGACCACCTGATTTTCATTTACTTGCTGTGCATTAGCGTACATGCACTCCCAACATCGTCATGTTATAGACTGTAACCTTCAGAAAATCATTTCTTTTCTACTCTGTCGACACTTTCAATACGTGAGTGTTAAAACGGGGACGTTACTTTGATCGGCGAAGAAATATCAAATGTAAAAAAGAATGAGTAAAAATTGTCTATTGAAACGATCAAGCTAACACAAATAGTTTCTACATAAATGATAGTCTCTTTCACGCAACTACCGGGAAAGCGTTAACATGAACGAATAATGGGACACATTTTTTAAAAAATATTACGATTAATCTTTGAATTTTAGAATCTACAACCTTCAATAATTAGGGCCCGCGATTTGTATCGATTTGTATTTTATAGTTTTATAGTGAAATGAAAAAAGTTTCTTCGGAAAAGAGCCCGAAAAGAGCCTACAATTAATCAAAGCGTTATGTTTGAATACACAATATTTTAGAATATAAAATAGATTTATATATCTAGTTTACACGAGTATAATATGTATATCTGTAGATTTTACAATCTTTTTTTCAATTATTTCTTTCATATGTCGAATTTTTTAGACAGTATGTATGTATATAATAGGTACATATCTAACAATTATATAGTTATGTATATTTAGAAATATGGTACTAGTTAGTCAATGGTAATTACAACAAAATAGGTAAGTTCTACAAGTTGCATAAAATAGATAATTTACCAATATTAATTTTTATAATTTTATTTTTAATAATTTTAAATAGATAATATAGATGTCATCATTGAATTTTAATCATGTATCTTAAAAACATTCAAATAAATGTTTTTAATGTAGATATTTAAGACGATCTTTTGCTAATGTCTATTAATAATAATTATATTTATTATTTTGTAAATTTTTAGATGAATGTAGTTAGTCATATTAATTATTCTGAATTATTTGTGTGATGAAAAATTTCTTATGCGCATTAATAAAATCTAATTCTAAAACATAAAATGATTAAATTAGGTACGACAACTGAGATAGATATTCGTATGCTTTCAAAACCTATAGTATTAATTAGATAGACGTTTAATAATTACATGCTAATATGCTAATAATTTTTCACTTTTTAAAACTTAATAGAAAAATTAATAAATTTAAATTTAAAACTTAATAGAAAAATTAATAAATTTAAATTTAAAACTTAATAGAAATTTAAAACTTAATAGAAAAAAAAAACAAAATATAAATAGAAGGATTAGATCAATGGAGGAAGTAAAAGTATAATGTAAGAAGATTAATAAGATTAAATAAAGCAATAATTTTCACAGAAATCTTGAACGTAACGATTCAGTTTCATCGCACAAATTACCTTTCTTCATATATGATATATTCTATACTATTCTTTCAAAAAGCACGTAACGTGATATTTTTATGAGTGCAATGTTATTCCCAAATTCTGTTTCGATCGAATCTATAATTATAAAACGAGGGAACCCTTTCTTCCACGAAACCTTCCTACAGAAACTCCTATCCTTTTATTTCCATTCGTACGAAACTTCGTACGAAAAATAAACGTGAAAGGGATGAAAGGACAATTTCGAGGGTAAAGAATTATGAATAAAAAATATGCGAGG